GTGCAAAAGGCACCACTCCCATAAAAACAGCCACCCACTGATGGTTAGCCACCCTGACGAAGCCGGCAGGAGGCCGGCGAAAGCTAGGTGCTTTTAATTGTAAATAAACTGATTATAGTTTTTTATCTCCTGGTGGTCTCACGGTTGTGATTCTTTAGATATGAATTTACCCAGGAGTCAACCTCCAGCTTTTAAAATAGCATTCTGCAATTGAATTTTTGACTGCTGAAGGAGAGCTTCAAAATGAAATTTGCCACTAAATTCAGGTTGTGTTTGGTAGAGACTGTGCTAATGTGAGTACTATAGGTCACCAAGCCGGAAAATATTAAGAAAATAACTGGGAAGAGCTGATTTGTGTGATGAAGAAAGAAGTAGACCTCCTGTGACAACTGCTGATGCGTTTTACATGAGATAAATTGAGGAATTGATCAAGGACAATGGCCGATTGATCAAAGGGGAAATTGACATCAAGACTGGCATTCACAGAAACATGTGGGCCACATTGTTGATCTCCTTCAATATTGGAAGATCTGTGTAAGATTGGGTCCTCACATACTGACAGCACGGATCAAAGGTTCAAGAGTTGATATTTGACCGCATTTTCATGCTATAAAAAAATGAAAATTCCTTCATAGCATCATGACAGCTGACAAAGTACGGGATCGTTTTATTTTCCAGAAATGAAGCGGTGGTCCATGGAATATCATCAGAAAGATTCAACTTAAAAAAAAAAATCAAAACCAGGCTTCAAGAGGAAAACCCGTACTTATCATTTTAATGCAGGAATTTCCTTGAACCTGGCATCACTACCGACTCGGAGACTGCATTGAGACACTGACTTTGAAACTGAGCAAACATCTGAAGCACAAGAAGGAAATTTTGCTACAACATGACAATATTAGGCCTCATACCTGACAGACAAGAGGCAATTGTGTAGTTGGCTATTAACATGTTACTCCATTTGCCACAGAGTTCAGACTTGATGCCATGCAACTTCCATACCTACATGGCAGCTGTTTGGCTCAAATGAAGTGATGGAAAGGAGTCTCAGCACCTGGCTGAAAATATGGTGTCAAATCTTTCAAAGCAGCTTTAAGAAGCTTGTTCATCATTGGAAAAGCTGTGTGGTGCAGGATCCGATCTGGGTCGGTCACCGGGAACAGAGATTTGTCTTCCAACTTTTTGGACTTGTGCTGGAGCCCATCTTCAGGGAACTTCTCTCTAGTCTAATACACTCTGCTAGAGCAGTGTTTCTCAACCTTGGCAACTTTACGATGTGTGGACTTCAACTCCCAGAATTCTCCAGCTAGCGTTGCTAGCTGGAGAATTTTGGGAGTTGAAGTCCACATATCGTAAAGTTGCCAAGGTTGAGAAACACTGTGCTAGAGAGAAGTTCCCCCAGGATGGGCTCTGGCATGAGTCCAAAAGCTTGGAAGACAAACACCTCTGGTCCTGGTGACCAATCCAGATCGGATTATCCTGGGACATGTATATTCGCCCTCATTCATGAGACATGTGTAGTGAACGGTGGTGATTAGGGAAAAAAGTAAACACAGGCAGTCTTCGACTTATGGCCACAATTAAGCCCAAAATATATGTTGCTATGTGAGACATTTGTTGAGTGAATTTTACGAACTTCCTTGCAACAATTGTTAAGCGAATCATTGCAGTTGTTCAGTTAGTAACACGGTTGTTAAGGGAATCTGGCTTCCCCATTGGTTTTGCTTGCCAGAAGGTCACAAGAGCTGATCACATGACCCCAGGACACTGCAACGGTCATAAATGTGAACCAGTTGCCAAGCTTCTGAATTTCGATCATGTGACCATGGAGCTGCTGCAACAGTTGTAAGTGTGAAAAATGGTCATAAGTCACTTTTTTTCTGTGCCGTTGTAACTTTGTGCAGTTACAATGAACTGTTGTAAGTCGAGGACTAGCTGTAAAGATAAGGAAAGGGCTCATTTCCAGGATTATTTTCCTGCTTCATTTATTAAAATATCCTATTTAAACTAAAGTTATGGAAGTGGAGGCATTGCTTTCATTCAACCCTCACTGTATGAATCTCAGAAATGTTTTTTAATGTGTGGCTTTAGAGGAGTTGTGCTCTGTTCCTTAAACATGATGCTAGTCAGCATAGTAAATGTCAGTCTGTGCAAAATGATGAATTTGTAATTGCATTATTCTCCCAATAAAATGCAAGAGGGGAATATTTTCTCTATGAAATGCTGCAAAAGTTTGGTTCGTGACATGACTACTCAGAACTTATTGGGCATCTGTTGTTTATCCTCCATGAAGGAGTAAAGAAGGAAAGCCATAAGTACACGTGAAAAGAAATTAGAAGATGGATGGAAGGTGGCCATTGTTTAAAGAGTTTCCACTGCTCTCGAGATTAATTTTCTTAGCCTTTGGCTATGTCCACCATATTTTCTCTGCCACATCCCTTCACTGTTTGCTTTCATTTTACCTCCGGCTCAGGAATGAGGCAAGATTGGCTGTCCTTAGCTGTACCCGTGTTAAAATAGCATTTCTCCCTTCCCTTTTCCAATGCCATCCAAAAGCAACTGCCCTCAAGGTATGTCAATCTGATAGGGAACGGCTTGACTGGCCATGACTGNAAAATAGCTCAAAGAATAAACAGGCAGGTCCAGCTGAGGCAAGATGGGGATCAGCCATGGGGACAGCAATCTTTTTTCTGCTGACTCAAGGATGAGCAGAGAGTATTGAAACTCAGCAGTGCAGGAAAGCCCTTTGTCTCAGAAAGCAATAGGGCAGCTGGTTTATTTATGGCACTTCATGTGTGTGTCAGGGCTGGGCTAAGCTAGTCTGAAGCTTGCCCGGCAGCTGCTGCTGTGTAGAGTTAGGCTACTTGTCATGATCAAAGCACACAGGCAGGATTGAGGAGTGAGCCAAAATTCAGGACCTAAGGACAACTGAGAAATACAAAATATGCCAGCAGCCCAAAGGGCCTTGTTCCTCAAGAGATGCTTCGTTATGGTTTAGAAGGACTGGTCACAAGATGGAAAATTATTTGTTTATTCACCATCCCATTTTTAGGCCATCCAACTCCAAAAATGATTCTGGGCAGCTTCACCAAATTAAAAATAGACTATATGTGTATTATAAATAAATTATGCCATTTAAATTGCTGAAATGTGCAATTCAATAGGCCAGCAGGGAAGGCAGAGACACAGACCTTATGATCAAAAGCCACTAGGCTACTTGGAAGCCATTAAATAGTTGAGCTCTATTTTGGCTATTACCCAAACATCATGCCAGGTTTTTGTCTTTTGCATATCTGAAGGAAAATGTTACACTGCAATGGTTCATTGCCAGAAATGCTGGAGAAGTTCCTTTGTTGAAACTGAATTTTTTTTCTTTCTGATGGCACTCAAGACTTCAGTTTGAATTATACTAGAACATGAGCAGACACAATTCAAATTTTTAAAGTCCTTATAATTCAGAAAACCAGGAGCTGTGAGTTGTAAGACTCATATTCTACTTAACCCAAAGTTCATTTCTTGCATCTTTTTCACCCAGTGTACCATATAATTTCTCTATGTGAGAAGCTGTGTGCAATGTTACTTTAACAAACTGATTTGGTCTTGGGTCCACTCCAGCTTTCACAGAAACCAAAGCAATTTTGAGAAAAGGCAGAATATGGAAAGAATTCACCCAGTTATACTTGCAGAAGAATAGCATAGTTCAATTATGTTCTTTATAGAGTATGTGTATACACACATCACATACCACCACAACCTCACAACTTACAATTGTTTCTGCCATGAAGATTCTTTCTCTGTTTCAGGTTTTGAGATTATTTCAGCAGGTGACAGCATCTGACAAGAATGCTGGAATTCCTTGCCTGGAAGGTAAATGGAGTTAGGTCTGGTTAGTATTTGGATGGGAATCCAGCAGAGGTCTATAATTTAGACTGGAAAGTTGAAAAACACCCTGAAAGAAGCCATGGCAAACCACTTCCACATTGCTGCAAAGACAACAGCATGCATTTGTTCATGAAACCACTAGAATCAATTCAAAGCCATTTGTACCTTTATTATCGTCTAAAAGATCAGCTTGCAATGTTTGAACATGTTCATTGTTGAGCTGAAAATGACATTCAGAAAGGGCATCCTATTAGCTCAATATCTATCCACTTACTGTGGTTATTCACTGCTAAATTGATGCTAAATCAGGGAGAACAATAACATTAGAATCATGCAACTATATGTGCAAGGACCAAGCAAATAAATCATTTGAGAGGAGGGGTAAATCACAAAGAAGTTGTAATGGGAGATTTATATTGGAATAAATAACAAACTACTTAGGTACAAGTTCCAAGCCAAGCTAAAGTACAAGAATTAAGCCAACCTATTTCCACACTATGATTTTCAGTGTAAACCACCATTTCTAAGGAGAACATGAGGAATTACTTTAAAATCCTTAACTTCTTCAACAGAGAACCAGAGGAGCCATGAAATGAAATAAAGTTGTTAAGGATGAATGGGAAAAGATTATTGACAATGATAAACAGAAGAAAGCAAGCTGTGGAATCTCCTTATGAAAATTGGAATCCCAGAAAATCCCATTGTCTCTATGTGAAATCTATACACAGGATGAGAAGCCAAGGGCAGACAGTACACGGTGAAAAAGACTGGCATGTGAAGAAGACAAGATTGTATACTATCTCTTTATGTATTCAACCTTTAGGCTGAAAATATACTCAGGGAAGCTGGACTGGAAGGAGATGAGCATTAAAATTGGGGGTCAATGCATCAAGAAACTTTGCCATGTTGATGCTAATACTCTGGTAGTACTCTGGTAGTTAAAAATGCAAACAATCTACAAACTCTAGTAGGGAAAGTCAATCATCACAGTAAAGAAATAGGACTATGTTTAAATATAAAAAGTACTATCATAATGACAGCAGGTATAGCAATCAGCCTTGGAATTAAAAATGAAGATATTGAGATAGAGGATAGCTTCTGCCTTTTAGAACCACTAT